GGTGTGGGTGTGGGTGTGGGTGTGGGTGTGGGTGTGGGTGTGGGTGTAGGTATGGGTGTAGATAAAAAGAAGGTCAACAACCACACCCACACCCACACTCTCACCCACACCCACACCCACACTCTCACCCACACCCACACTCTCACCCATACCCACACCCACACCCACACTCTCACCCACACCCACACCCACACCCACACTCTCACCCACATCCACACCCACATCCACACCCGATTTTAATGCATTAAAACAAAATGAATGTCTTAGAGGTAAATTTAAACAATTATTCATTATCTCTAAAAGGAATATCTGCTAATCATGTGAAATTTTAAGTTTATAGCAACAAAAATGATTGTTATGCTTTCAAGAAGGTAACATTATCAACTAATCAATTACTTTTGAATTCAGACTCTGTGCATGAGATAGAAAACCAGTGAGATATCAGCATGTGGCTTGATGCATACCAACAAATGAAATAAGAGTATTTCAACCTGAAATTTTTTCTTCTAATATCTCAATAGATATATTTCAAATGGAGATGAAAATCTTCGATCAAATGATAATAACAAAGATTTTTCTCTGCACTAACAAGGAAACATTCTCAAGTGATCCGTTCCATTTGCCTTCGTATTTTGTCCATTTGTAGGACCTATTATCGTAAGAAAAAGCCTAAGAGGATTTGTGTCCTTGTTGCATCTTTCGAAAGTTATGATCGTTTTACTGATTTTCGAGCCATTCATAGGTGTTTATCGAAAAAATCAAATTTGAGATTTTCTACCTGAAATTTTCTCCATAGATAAGTCTAATGATATTTAAAATATCCTGAAAGTTTCAGCTAAAAAGAATGTTTCTTTCTCAAGATATTGACATTTTAAAAAATAGTTATAAGTCACCAAAACCGAGTTCACTTTAAAAATCAATATCTCGAGAAAGGAATCTTTTTTTGGCTGAAACTTTCAGAATATTCTAAAGATCATTAGACCTATCTATGGAGAAAATTTCAGGTAGAAAATCTCAAATTTGATTTTTTCGATAAACACCTATGAATGACTCGAAAATCAGTAAAACGATCATAACTTTCGAAAAAAGCAACAAGAACACAAATCCTCTTAGGCTTTTTCTTACTATAATAGGCCCTATAAATGGACAAAATACGAAGGCAAATGGAACGGATCACTTGGGAATGTTCCGTCGTCAGCACCCAGAACAAGTCGAATTTAGTATGATCTTAATGTAGTTAATAAATTTTAGCAAGATTCTGGCGACTTTCGTCCTGAAGAATCTAATAATCGAATAAAAAGGTAGATGCGAATACCTCTGGCATTATGCAGTTCCCATATCAATTTGGAACATCTTTAAAAAAAAAGAATCTCTCACAGTCCGAACTTGCAATGAATAACTCATATTGTGAATTCGTTAATTTGACCTGAAACCGAGACAAAAAAAGTACGAATTTCGCTCGTGTCTAATTTAATATATTGAAATAGTGACAGCAGTTTAATCACCTTAGTGCCCATTGGGAAAGAATGATTTGGCAAAAATTATATTTGATGTAGTCCGATAAGAAAACGTCCCGAGTTATATGCGCTGAAAAACAAAAGATTGGATTTTCTGAAAAAATCCCTAGTGACCATTCTGTGTTTTTCCTAAGTCTTGGATAGTATTCATACTACCCATGTAAAAAAAAATGTAGCCAAAAAGTAACTCTTTAGTACTTTCGAAAGTTTTTTTTAAGCAGGAAAAAGTACTTATAAGTGAACCTTTTTAAGTACTTTTCATATTTTTTGGCTAAAAAGTACTATTAAGTACTTTGTAAAGTGAAAAAAGTATCAGAAAGTATTTTTCAAAGTGGAAAAAGTATCAGAAAGTACTATAAAAAGTGAAAAATAGTAAGAAAAGTTACTTTATTTTGCTTTATTAATATTAAAAGTACTTAAAAGTGATTTTGGTTCACTTTTTTTTACATGGGTAGTAGTAGTGGACATTATATCACGTGTCTTATTTGTTGGTAGAAAAAACATTTTTATCCAACTTTTGTGGGTTTTTCAAATCTATTGATTTTACAATTTACTTTTTTTCGAAGATTGAACAATAGAAAGTTCTAAAATTATTTTCGTTAGCTTTTATTTTCTCAAGGTACAACTCTTATATCAAACAAAGAAAGTATACGAAACTATGCTCCACAAGATCTTCATTTTCCATCTGTTGCTATTCAACTTCAATGGTCAACATTACCAATTATTGATTGGTATGATATTGATCCACGTTCACATAAATATATATTTCTAAAAGAAATTGGTGTACGTGAAGTACCTGATTTACGAAAATTAATTGATCGAATTATTGAAGAACATAATGAACAAAAGAAAGAATTAAATAATGAATATAAATTACCAATAGTACTTAAATTTTTAGCTGAAAATTTTCAACAACATTATTCAAAATTATGGAAAACAGCTAAAATTAAACGACCTTTTCTTCCATCTATTTTACTATTGAAAAATATTATATTATCATCACCCGAACAAGTTTTTAAAGGTTTTAATTATTTTTAAATTCTTTTTTTTTGTTTACTTATCATATTTTTCTAATTAGATAAAAATCCATTAAGTGCAACATTATTACCTGATGTTGTTCAATTATTTGAAAAATATTTCAATATATCATTACTTGGTATTAAAGATCGTGCAACATTAACGATAGCTTTTGATATTTTAATGAAAAAAAAAACAAGAAATACTCAATGTAGAAACGGCTCGAAAAATTTTTGCTTATATGAATAAACTTGATGGTCTAAGTCGAATATTAATTGAACGTGTATCCAAATGTGCTTTTATTCCTCTTGAAAGAAATAACAATTTTATGAAACCATCACAAGTTTTTATTCGTCCTGATAATTCAATAACACCATCTGATGATGATGATGATGATGAAATAACACAAATAATTGGTAATGGTAGTCGTAAACGAAATAATACTAAGACAACAACAACATCAAAGAATAAAAAATTCAAAACAATATCATTAACTCCATTAATTATGGATGATACAAATGGTTTAATTGATTATATTGATTACGGTTCTGAAGGAAATTCTTTTCTTCTTAATATTGGTGTACTTCATTATCCATCTACTACTATTTTAGCTGAATTATTAATTGGTCGACAAGCAAATTATTTTTCAAATTTAAATCAAAATAATTTACAACAAAAATTACATGTTTATACAAATTGTCTTCGACAACTTGCTATTACAATAAATGAATTACAATCAATATCATTAATAAAACGATTAAAAACTGAAGCTTGGTGTTCAGGTTATCAAGTTATTGATGGGTGTGGGTGTGGGTGTGTGGATATTGATGTGCGTGTGGGTGAGCGTGTGGATGTGGGTGTGGGGATGTGGGGTGTAGGTGAGAGTGCGGCTGTGGCTGTGGTTGTTGGCCTTCTTTTTATCGACATCCATACCCACACCCACACCCACACCCGCACCACACCCACACCC